AGGATGTTTAGGGTTTAGGGTTCAGGGTCTAGGGTTTAGGATTTGGGGTTCAGGGTTGAGGGTTTAGGATTTGGGGTTCAGGGTTGAGGGTTTAGGGTTTGGGGCTCAGGGTTTGGGGTTCAGGGTTTAGGGTTCAGGGTTTGGGGTTCAGGGTTTAGTGCTTAGGGTTTAGGGTTCAAGCAGCAAGGTTCAGGGCTGATTCTGATTATGAGCTATAGTCTAAATCAACTCCTTGAATTAGAGGGGGGTTATAAAGGAGACTACATAGGGATTATTACAGGGTGATTAAAGGGGATGCTAGGAGTTTACTGGGTTGCTGTTAAAGGGCTTCAGTGAAGTTACCATAATGGGTATATATATATATATGTAGAGTGAGTGAATAATACGGTTTCCCCATTGTAGTGACTTAAATTAAGTTCCTTAACAGCAACCCAGTTTAGGGGTTAGGCTTCCCACAAACGGAGTCTTACAAGATGGTTGCCGGTGATTATTTTTCGTCCATGCAGTACCAGGCATGTCCGCGTGCCGTGTTCAGCGATTAACCAACTGGAAGCTCTTTCTAACAACATTAGGATTCCTGGGAGGCATCTAAGCTCCTTGCAATAAGAATCCTAATTACCACAATTCTTCAATGCTTGGGCTCAATGCTTATTAGTTCCCGTAAAATCAGCTAACAACCATCCACGTGTTCCGGCTGAGCTCTTTCTATGTTGGCTCGGAGCAACCCGAGGAGCGAACTCCAAGTCTTAAGGGTTCAACGTGGATCTAACGGGTAATTCAACAAATTAGGTCCCATCTTGGTACCCCTGCATATTAGGTGCCGTAGTATAGTCTATAACCAAAAGGGACATGTAGTTTTGCGAGCAACCCATATGGCATTGTATAGGGATAGTGGGAAACAAGCTTGAAACTGAACCTCAGTCATCCTGCCCGGCTTTACCACCATGCCAGCAGCTGGAAATCCCATGATGTGAATGGTCAACATATCTTCGCGCAACGTGGCCAATGCAGGGAATGGTCTTCGATTGCTTACAGCACCTCAAGAAATCACTACGGGACGTTGCGGGTAGAGATCTTTGGAACCCTGCAGAAGTTGTTTTCCCTGTGCAGCCCAACGTGGCAATCGTGCCCTAAACTCTGAACCAACGCAGGAGTTGTTTTCCTGGCCAGCAGCATCTACTTCTACAAGCACTGGATAGAGAGAATGTGCGCAAACTCGGATGGGTCGTGCTTAAATTGCTCCGGAAGGACGTTATATGTACTAATTGTGGTTTGTAGCGTCTTGCCTGACATCAGTGTTTTCTGCTTCCGCTAGTTCAAGCTGATTCCATGATTTTGGGCAACTTCTACAGGATTTGCGGTTTTTGAGGTTAGGTTAGGTTGTAGGGTGTGGGATTTCTATCGTTCCAAACGTATGTCGGCTCCACGGTAGGGATCTGTTATGCTTTTAGGGTTTATTGGGTGTCCTCATCTAACTGCGGAAAGGATCCTTTTCGGCTATGAGTACTAGGATGCTCAGGATGAACACCATGTAGAAAGTGGGTGCGTGGGTGCGGGTGCTTGTGTGTGTGTGTGTGTGCGCGCGCGCGTGTTCTTCTTTCAAGACATGTGCGCATGCGAAAATCTTTGTTCTTGCTGGTGCTTTACTGGAGCTCCTATGCGAATAGGATCCATTAATGGGATTCGATGTCTACCCGGAAATGGCTTGACTGCCTTTCCCAGAAAGAGCATCGTAGCTGATGCAGGTACCGCCACTATGTCGAGGAGAGCTTGAAGATTCTGCAGTGAAGGGTCTAAAGACTATAGTCCCCCTTAAGTAGATAGAATATGGTTCTGGGTATAGTAAAGTATAGTATGTTATAAGAAGGAGGATTAAAAGTGTCTAGACGAGGGAGGCTTAAGCCCAACCCCCCAAACCCCAAGCTATTGGCCCTGAGACCTAATGTAGACCCATGATTATACTTACAATAAACCCCTTCCATTTAAGGGTGTTAGTCTTAGGCTTCCTATTATAATCCCTATTAACGGGAGGGGGTTGATTAATCAGGGGCTTGGGTTAATTACCCAGTCTGGCCTCCATTAGACCATCTTTTAATCCCCAGCTTCATACCCCGAGGAGTATAAAGGGTTTGTTTCCAACCAAGTGGGCAAAGTATGACTACATAACCCAATCTCACCTCAAATGGCCCCTTGTATAGATACAGACAATGACAATCCCTACATGGCTTTCTTTCAAGCTTCGAACTCATATATACAACTAAGCCGGAGCCAGGTGGCATTAGCATGCAGCATGCAGCTCTTAGCTACGTCGCTAAACTTGACAACAGGTAAGCCGTTAGTTGTTGTGTTGCGATCAGGCTGCTATCGAGTGTGAGATTGAGATTAAGTGAGCCAGGGTCAGGTGACTGACAGGAATGGCTGGTTCTCAAAGGGGAGTATGCATACATTGGCGACCCCAATATAGGCACCAACATACCGAAACTCAAATTGGGAGCCATCTCAAAGTGATCCCTGATTGAAGGAATCCCCCTAATTCAGGCTGCTCCTTAAATTGAACCCTAAACGCTGAACCCTCCAGGTACCAAACTAAGCTTGGCCCCTAAATTTAGAACCCTGTGGTCTGGTTTAGGGTTCAGGATTTTTGGCTTTCGTGGCGGAAGCTTATACAGAATCCTGATGCGAGGGCCTAAGAAATGAGAGCAGCCAGGTAGATGCTAAGCACACATTCTTTTGTAGTCTCCTTTGGAATTGTGCTTCATTTGTGTTATAGTAGAACCCTAAGGAGTTGTTGAATTCAGATTATTAGTATAGGTCTAAGGGAAGACTTGGCTAGTCTACTTCCAGACCCATAAGGAGCATTGTTATCCCCATCATTCTCCCGCTGACCTCCAATCCTAGGGCCTAAACCCTCGAAAGGTTTCCATGTTCCTGTTATGAACCTACTTACAAGCCCGTCTGACCTTGCAGCAGGACATGCTACGGCCCTGGGCCTCTGCTTAAACACTGTATATAGCGGTTTCCACATTCTTCTCCATTTTCTTGAGTCTCTAGACCTTAAACTTCAAGGCCTAAGCCCTAAATCTTGAAAACACAATCTTAGACTTTAAAATCCCTACCGCTTAAGCTCTAAAGCCCCTAAACCCCCCAAACCATGAATTGCAGCAGGACAGATTCAGACCATACTACGTTCCAGGCCTTGTTGGCCTCATGCAGTTGCCCCAGCTTCACCGCTTGTTCGCCCTCAGATTTGGGCCGTCCTTGGGGTTAAATGGGTTTAGGGCTTAGGGGGATTGGGGTTTTGGGTTTAGGGGGTTCAGGGTGTGGGGTTTAGGGGGTGTAGGGTTTAGGATCTAGGGGGTTTAGGGTTTAGAATTTGTTTAGAGTTTAGGGTTATGAGGCGGAGCAAGCATCTCTTTAGAATATAGTAGCGAGCAGGGCAGTGACTCTGAGGTTCGGGGCTCACTTATGTTGCTCCGGGTGTACCGGCTTGTCTGGGCGAGAGAGTGAGCACTGTGCTGAAGGGACACCTGTCCACAACGCGGGATATATGGACATGATCAAGCTTCTTGCAAAGAGCTTCCCAAAGTTAGATGAGGGGTTGCCACAGGTTTTGACTGTAGCTTTTTTAACAGCCAACCCGAGGATCCCGAATCTCAAGCGGCCATAGTCTAAACTCCTTCAAGGGAGTTATGTAGGGTGTTATATAGGGGACTACTATAAGGGTCTATTAAGGGGGATACTAGGGGTTTAGGCTATAGTTTAGGCTATCGCTCAAATGATACACTCCACAACCAGTAAACGCTCAGGTATTTTCATTGGCTGGACACTGTTGACATGCTGAACCAGTGGTTGGATCCGCAGCACCGTCCCCAGAAGCCTCGCAGAGAGTGCTTGGTGGCAGGGATCTAGGGATTGACAGTGCTGCAATTGGGTTTACGAGCTTGCGTTCTGGGCTTTAGTGTTTAGAGGCATGTAGGGTTTTGGTTTGAAGGTTTCGGAGGAGGTCTGGTTACGTGTTTAGGCTTTGAGCTTCAAAGTCCGGATTTGGTGCGTAGGCTTGGGCTTGGCACTGGCAGCTTGCTCGCGCCTGGGAGAATCTGAATGGACTTCGCATGCCAGGGTTTGACTAACTAGTGCTTAAGGGAGAGTAGGGGAGTGGACCCAAAAATCACCGCTGTATAGTCCCCATATATAGTCCTACACCTCCCTGAACCCCATACCCTAAACCCTAAGCCCTAAACCCCCACTCCCCCTTGAGCACCAGTATGTTGAAGCCTGGGGGTTGGGATCCGGTTTAAAAGTGCTTTAGGGTTTAGGAACTGCGTAAGGCTCCCTGAGGTCCCCCAAGGTTTCCTTGCAGTGGAACCAGGCGGGTAGATTGTTAACACTCCTAGTGTTATTGTCTGTAGGGTTTAGGGTTTAATGGTTTTAGGGTTTAGGGTTTTAGGGTGTAGGGGTTTTGGGGTTGCAGGTTGTAGGGTTTAAGGGTTTTAGGATTTAAGGGTTTTAGGATTTAAGGGTTTTAGGGTTTCATGGTCCGGGAGTTGCCCTCCCCTAAGTAGCATGGATACCCATATAGCCCTGATATCCTGATATCTACAGGACGGCTATCAACAAGGGAGCTTTTTGCAGGTTCCATGTTAGCTCTGGGTTGGTGTTAAGAGTTACCATAATGGGTGCATATATATATATATATACATATGTACATACATATATATGAGTATATATATATATATCACTTAATAGGGTTCCCCATCATAGCAACTTAGAACAAGTTTCTGATTGGCAACCCAGAGTTTGGGGAGGATAGGTTGAGGGTCTGAGCTTACATGTGATACCTACTTGGAAGTTTATGTGTACAGCTATTACTAGCAGGGCCATGTAGAGCTACTGCGGTGTGGCTCTTGAGTTTAGGGTTATATGTACCCCAATTACGGTCATAAGTGCTCAAACCCGCAGTTAACCTGCGCATAACAAATAATGTAGACCTATGATAAATACGCCCCCTCTTTTTAAGGGCCTGGATATTAGCATTATGATCCCTATTTAGGGGAGGGGGTCTATTCATAAGGGGTCTACATTATCCCAGGTACTGGGACCACGTCATGGTTGACCTGCCAGACCAGGCACTGTTGGAGGAAGTTCAGGGTGCTTAAATCAAATCTGTGACTTAAAATCCCAGGGAGCTACGAAAGCGCAAGGTAAGTTGGCTGCACGGGAAGTATCGTGTGACAGGATAAAGGACTTGGAATTATAGTCCCCCTTAAGTAGATAGAACATGGGGTATATGGGGATCTTATTATGACATACCCAAACCCATATTCTATCTACTTAAGGGGGACTATAGGACTGTAGGGTTTACTTAGGGCTTAGGCATCAGCGTCAGGAGGCGCGCAGCTTGGGATGAAGGTTGAGGGCCTCGGTTTGCAGAAGCCTCGCTCATTTGAGTACTATTTTATCTGGGGATTTCATTGTACCCAATAGAGAGTAAGATTCTATCGTCCTTTTGGGTATAGTATTTTATATAAGGAATATAATCTTACTAGGTTCAACCACCAAAAAAACACTACTCATTTGCAACAACCGTTTAGTGTTTACAGGGGCGCGTTTGAACATACTTGTTGATTTGTGTTACCCGTCGTTCTTATACATTCCTTAGAAGGCCATAAAGAGATTTTTTAGAGGGCCCCCAAACCTACCCTAGTTAAGGGTTAAGAGCAGGCTCTTGCCTTGTTACTTCGTGCTATTTCATATGCATGTGGGATCCTACGAGGTTCCTTCACAGCGCCCACTTGTCTCCCAGTCTAGCCTGAAAGCCCGAATTTGAGCTTGGAAATCCTGTAATGAAGAGGCCTTGCGTAGGATTTCATATTAGATGGTACCTCCAACAAATCTCAGAACGATATTGGGAATTATCTAGGCTTTCACAGTAGATGGACAAGGGAATAGGAGATTTATTACTGAATGAGCCATACGGGTAGTACTGAAGATCCTGCATGACTATGCCCTCATGACCCTAAGTACCTTTACCTAGGGAATTCCGATATACTAGCATGTCAAAGCATGCTTGATTTGTAGTACCCCATGAAGTTTCCGCCAGTTTTCGCTGTGCTGGCTGACTGCAACCGCTAAAGCTCTACGGGCCCAAACCTAGGGTTTTGGGTGTAGGGCTATTAGATCTCAGAATTCTTTATCAGAATACCAATAAGGGTAGATTATGGGTACCCTATATACTACCCAGCAGAACCCCTATATAATCCCATTTTCCATTTCATTTTCCATGTTCTTTTCCATGTGATTCTCCATTATTGGGGTAATATTGGGTACCATGGGCCTTCAGGGCTTAGTTTTTCAAGGTCTAATGGGATTAGGGTTTAGGGCCCTAAACCCTAAACCCTAGGGTTTAGGGTCCATCCTGGTTTGGTGAGGCCTGGACCATTGCTGACGTGCGCCTGACAGGCCTCTTCATGTTAGCATCTCAGAATTGCTTGGTTCCAGGACCCTCCTTGTACCCTTAATTAGGGGTAAATGGTCCCTAATAGTGGGTACTTAGGGGTATATAGAGGGTAGATGGAGGGTCTAGGTTCAAGGGCCTGCAACGAGACATGTTCCCTTACTGTGGGATTTTGACCCTCATTATTTAGTCGTTATTCGTGCAACGTAACCCCTTACACCCCTAAATCCTAAACCTTACACCTTTCCAGCTCCCCATGATGGTTCTTGAGTAGTTGGAAGCATATCTTGGGGCGCCACACAGGGCTCGAAGGCAGATTGTCAAAATAATTGTCGGTGTTGGGTTTTCTTGAACTCTGCCCGCAAAATTCCAGGGCAGCCTCCAAAACGACACATACTTTGGACAATTTTCCATATGTTGGTAGGTTATCAGCTTTATTCTTCCTTTGAAAGCTCGATAGCTGCATCTGGGGTTCGCAGCCATCTTGGTGCCGACTTGAGCTTAAGACAACCTATGAAGCAACCCCAAAAGAACGGTAGGGTTTCTCGACCTTTTTTCGAACTTTGGATCTTTGGGGCTTAGTGTTGCCAGAAGCGTCATATGTAGTGGTTTTGCTCCAAGTCTTTTGCGGGGTTAGGGGGGGTTTAAGTTTTCGGGTCGTATTGGGTGATGTGGATTCCCGATGGCGCGCATGTAGGATACACAGCGTCGCAGATTGGCAGCTGCGGAAGTTCGGCCGCCATAGCCTGCACTGGCATGCTCACCGCAGCAAAGAGTAGCACCACAAAGCAAAGGAGTGAAACCCAAACCTCAGCCAGGACATCAGATCTCCACTGTGGATTTAACATACGGGTTGCCTGATTCGAAGACGGTACAGTTGAGATCCTGATTCAACAAGGGTTGAGGGCAGACTGCGTACTCGACACCTCGATGCTCGATTCTAGCAAGCGCCCTTAACCTCAAGTCACACTGACCCATCTAGGTAAACGTATCTATCAAGCAAGCTAACGCCCAAAATCCCAGGACTCTTAAGGTTTAGGTTTTAGGTTTAGGGTTTATTGTGCCCCGGACGTGGACCCATAGCTTCAAATGCTGAGCGCCCTGCGCCCCCTAAGCAGTCATGTCAGCAAAGAAGGTTTCCCATGTGCTTGCACATCTCGAAAGCATTGGTCTACTTCCCCGTCAACTTTCAACAAAGCCGGTAAGTTAAGCCCTTAGCTCTGAACCTGAAGCCTCAGCCTTAACCCATACCCCGAGCCCTAAACTGGGTTACTGCAATAAGTAAACCCTATAGCTCACGATATGCTCATATTACGTTAACTTAAACCCTGAACCTTACACCCTGTATACCCATATTGTGGTCACTTAATTTAAATTCCTTAACAGCAACCCAGAAAACCCAAAGCCCGCTGTGGCCATGGCACCGTGGCTCTGGGCTTTACTCTTGGCCGCTTTTGTTCTGGCCGCTGGTCGCTTCTTCCTAGGCCCCCAGTTTGCGCAAGGTGGTTTAGGATTTACCGTTTGGATTCAGGGTTTAGGGGTTAGGATGTACCGTTTGGGTTCCTTTGAGAAATGGCGTGGCTGTAGCAAGAAGAGCCACACAAGTGAAATCTTGCATCACATAGAAATTTGGAGGAGAGCACAATTGGAAACACCAGACGTGCAGTCATAGTAGTTAAAGCTGTACTGTACTTCTACTAGGTACCGCAGTGGCACTCCTGTTCCCTTTGAATTTTTGGGTCTCCTTTTCAAAGCACGACATTAGGAAAAAGGGTACCCTTATCATTAAGGGGTTACTGGGGAACCTAGACTACTTTGCAGGGAAGATGGGACCGGATCAGTGTGTTGGTGTTGTGTGTATGTCTGGGCACTAAGTCTGCAAATTGTTGTTGTTTTGGGCCCTGGAGTCACGCGGTTTAGTGTTCAACGGTTTAGGGTTTAAGGGTTTAGGGTTTAGGCTTTATCAAAACTCTTGCGTGACCCTTTGAAAATAACGTCATGCAGGAGCTGTATTATCAACAGCAGTACCTATGTTGGACCATTGGACTGGAACCCCTAGCATATGAAGACATGGATGCTTCGAAACATCTCACTCCCTAAACCCTAAACACAAAACCTAGCTCAGGCGTCACGTCCTAAGCGCAAGACAGCCTACTGTAGCAGTTGATGTGCTGGTGCTTGCGGTGTAGAGGGGGAGTTAGCACCATATAGTATAGGTACCTTTTTTTGGCATTCTAGAAGGAGTCTTCTACCCTAAGCCCTAAAACCTCAATGTCGTCCTCAACTCCCGCTGGCCTCACCAGCAAAGTAAGGGTTGCCTCCACACCTCCACAGACCCTGAAAGCATGAGCTAGAGTTCATGATTTACCGGGTCCTTGTTGGACAAATGTTCAATGTTCAACTTCATTCTAACCCTAAACCCTAAACCTCTAGAATACCTGAGCAAGCCTGGGAGCTTGGACTTGGATGCTGCCCCCCCACCCCCACCCCCCCAACCAGCAAGAGTTGGAGAAGAATCACAGCTTTAGTATATAAAGCCTTGAAGATAGCCCCCCTGGCTACAGCACCTGTCAACTCAGCCTCTAAGCTGCAGATCATAGATTTGTGCAAGCCCACAAGGCCATCCAGGTGGGGTGCTAACTCCTTCCAAACTTCCAAATCCCTCCCCCCCAATGTAACAAGTAAATTCTTTCAAGAGACTTTTATACAACAGTTGGTGGGCGTTTGATATTGGGGCTTGGTCACTAGTGCTGAAGGAGCTATGGCACCTAGGCAATCCGCAATTGTAGGCTACCTTCCAGCCGCTGGACGGACTTCTACTCTTGTATGATCTGAGCTGCTGCTTTTGTCATGTCAAATGAAATTGTAAAGACTTGTGGGCTATGTAGAAAACAGAGTCAGAACTGATGCTGATAGGGCTGGGAGCAACTCAAGCATTCAGCAAGTTCTTAGCAGTGCAAGTCTCATCAAGTTCTTCTTCTCCTGAGATGTTATCATCCTGATTAGGTAAGCTTTGACACGTTTCTAGCTCTTCGCACCGCACCCCTGAAGGCCTCAGCCTATCCGAGCTTCATCTGCGGCATGAAGCTCTGCAGTTGCCGATTAAGATTTTATAATTCATCATTACATGAGTCTGCGCCCATCTATAATCAGAATGAAGGTGATGATGTTTAGTACGTGGCACCGTAGCAGCGTCTCTGAACCCTACACTTCAAATCCTCGAACAAGAGCTGAGGAAAATCGTGGAGTTGCTGCAGCGCATCTGGTAGGTCCTGGAACTGGCCATGCGATGGCCCCTTGGCTGGTTGTGGAGGTTTCCCAGAATTAGTTATACCTTTTTGGGGGTCCCAATAATAAGGACTATAGTATATTAGGGTCTATATTGGGGCCCCATATTTTGGGAAACTACCTTATGCAGATGAGAAGGGCCACTGCTCATATTAAGTCTACAACCCGGTGAGAAACATAGAGTCATAAGTGTCAGTAGTTTCCCAAAAGCCCTAAACCCTAAAACCTAGACCCTAAACCCTAAACCGCAGTTTAGGGTTTAGGGTTAAATAGTTATCGTGGGAAAGCACCGGCTAGTCCAGGGCAAGTAACTCTATGGCCACTCTGAAGTTTCCAGAAGCTAGTGTTCCCGTGTGTTGAGGTTTCTATAAAGATACATACCCGTCATACTTCTAGAAATAGCTTCTTCTCCTATTTGCTTGTGGTATAAGACCGAGGGACCATAAAAGGTGATATTTTCATCATGGGTCTAAGCCCTAAACCCTAAACCCTAAAGGGGATTACAGTCTTTATAGACTGTTGAGATCTCAGGACTGCTCTGAGTTCTCAAGTTTAGGGCTTAGGGGTTTAGCTGTTAGGGTTTTAGGGGTTTAGGGTATAGGGATGTAGGGTTTAGGGCTTCACGGTTAAGGGCTTGAGGGTTTAGGGCTTTAGGGGGGGTTTAGGTGTTCAGGGTTTTGCTCTTTAGGTAGAATCCCGAGTCTGTAATAGTAGTAGAAAGGAAATAAGAGGATTCTACTACAATTGGAATTATCTTGGGTGCTGGCCCCTCCCAGTGACAGTCTATATTAGGGGTCATATTAAGGGCTATATATAACCCTATTATAGTTATTATCCAACTGTCAGTGAGGGGGGGCAGTACCCAAGCATGATCCCTTATACTCTCTACTACTTGGTGGAGGGGGTTCCACCTAGCAAGCTCTTAAGAATGGTTTAGGATTTAGGGTTTAGGGACAATCGAATTATCCTCTCTCAAAAGTAAAGCCATTGCAGACATGTTTTTATCATCCCGGCGGAACCTCCGTCCTTGCACGGCGGGGCAAGTTCCATAGTATCATGACTGCAAATGTACCAAGCTAACAACTAAAGTCCAACAGGTTAGTGATTAAAATCAGCTTTCGAGCCTTGAGTCCTTGATCCCGCTTAATCCCCCTTTTAAGCATTCCCTTAAGCCCCACCCTTTAAGCCCCTTTTAAGCCACCCTTTGAATGCTATTTGCCCCTCCTGATAGCCTTAAGCCTGGAAACCTGGCCCCCAAATCCCGAGAAAAAAGCCAGTCCCTGAACCTTCAGGCATAATTAATGGAAACTTTGATCTCTTAACCCCATCCTTGAACCCTGAACCCTAAACCCTAAGCCCTAAAAAGAAAGCTACCCAAACCGTAAACCCTAAAACTTAACCCCTGGGCCCGAAACCTTGAAATCCCAACCCTAATTCAACCCTAACCCTACCCCAACCCTTAAAGTCCCCCTTAAGTAGATAGAATATGGCTTTGGGTATATTATATGAAGGGCTCCATATACCCCATATTCTTTCTACTTAAGGGGGATTATAACCCTAGTCCTTAAACCCTGAGGCCCCACAACCTTAAAAGTCTAAGTAAACTCAGGCTCGCTGCCTGGACGGGAGCCCAGGAGGGTGTTCTTTCTGTTCTGCTTAAGGTTTACGCTTTAAGAGATACAGGATTTAGGGATTGGGGTTTAGGGTCTAGGGTCTAGGATTCAGGG